TGGAGAATTTACAAAGAAATTCTGAAATTATAAAAATAATCGACTGAAAATTCAGGATCAAAATACATGGAAATTATTAACTGAGTGTGTTTAACATTACAATGAATTCAACAGAAAATAGGTTAAATAAATTGAAGACAGTTCAAAAGAAAAGATACACAATGAAGTACAATGAGAAATTAGATTGTAAAAGACACAAAAAGGCCTGTGATGTGCCATAAAAGGAAGTCTGATATATGTAGTTGAAGTTCCTAGAACTGAAAAGATAAAGCACTGTCCAGAAGCAGTAGGTAAGCAGGTAATGCCTGAGAATTTTCTAAAACATACAAAAGATATCAAATCCCAGAATTGAAGAGCTCAGTGAATTTTTAAGCTAGAGGAAAATAAAGCCATATCTAGGCACATCACAGTCAACTGTATAACATTAAAGACAAAAATTAAAATGCACAAGTAGCCAAAGGGACACAGGGAGGAACACTTGAATTGAAACTGCTGACTTCTCAGTAGAAATTATGAAAGCCAGAAAACAATAGAATGGCATTTCAAGTACTGTAAAATATTACAGGTGTCCCCCACTTATCCACAGGGGATATGCTCCAAGACCCTCAATGGATGCCTGAAACCATGGATAGTAGCTAACCCTATATGGACTATGTTTTTACCTACATCTACATACCTATGATAAGTTTAATTTATAAATTTAAGCACAGTAAGAGATTAACAACAATAACAAGAAAACAGTTATAACAATATACTACAAAAAGTTATATGAATGTGGTCTTTCTCTGTCTCTCTCTCAAAATATCTATTGTACTGTAGTTACCCTTCTTTTTCTTGTGATAATATGAGATGAACTGAGGTAAATGAGTAAGTAATTTTAAGTAAATTTAAGGATTACTTGAACACAAGCACTGCAACACCACAGACAGTTGATCTGATAACTGAAATGATTACTAAATGACTAATGGGCAAGTAGCACACACAGCATGGATACACTGGACAAAGGGATGATTCATGTCCAGAGTTAGGGCACAGAACAGGACAGTGCAAGATTTCACCACACAACTCAGAACAGCACACAATTTAAAACATGAATTGCTTATTTCTGGAATTTTCTATTTATTATTTTCAGACCACAGTTGACCATGGGTAACTTAAACCATGAAAAAAGCTAAACTGCAGAAAAAGGGGGAACTACTGTACTGTGAAACTAAATTCTATACTAGCAAATATATCTCTCAAAAATGAATGCTAAAAAAATAGTTTTCATAAAAAGAGTAATCAAAATAGTTTATTGCCATCAAATCTGTACTATAAAGAATTCTAGCCCTGGCTGGTGTGGCTCAGTGGAATGAGCGCTAGCCTGCAAAGCAAGGGGTCGCTGGTTCAATTCTGAGTCAGGGCATATGCCTGGGTTGCAGGCCAGGTCCCCAGTAGGGAGTGCGTGAGAGGCAACCACACATTGATTTTTCTCTCCCGCTCCTTCTCCCTCCCTTCACCTTAAAAATAAATAAAATCTTAAAAAAAAAAAAAGAATTCTAAAGGATATTCTTCAGGCTGAAGGAAAATGATTGAATGGAAGAATTAAATTGCAGGAAGGAAAAAAGAATATTAGAAAAAATAAATATGTGGTCAATTATAAGCAATTAGGACAATTTTAATCAAAATTATAACAATGTAATGTGCAGGTTCTAACAAACACTGGGTTAAAATATATGACAATAATAAGACCATAAGTATATTGGGAGGATTAAAAGTTTGATGATAAAATTCTTATATTACTCTAGAAATGATAAAAATATTAATTCAAGATAGATTATAATAAAAAAGACTATTTTATAATATCTAGGGTAGCCATCAAAAGAATAAATTAAGCCCTGATTGGTGTGGCTTAGTTGACTGGGCATTATCCCACAAAGCAAAAGACCACAGGTTCAATTCCGGGTCAGGGCACATGCCTGGTTTGTGAGTTCAGTCCCCCATTGGGGCACTTACAAGAGGCAATCGATTGATGTTTTTCTCTCACATCGATGTTTCTCTCCCTCTCTTCCTCCTTCCCTTCCTCTCTCTCTAAAAATAAATAAATAAAATCTTAATTAAAATGTATAACTAGATCTATAAGTGAAAAATGATAAAAACTCATCAGTTCAAAAAAAGGCAACAAAGAAAAAATATGGATTTAAAAAAAGAAATGATGGGTCTTTTCCAGCTCTGGCCCTGGACTCAGCAGCCATGGCAATGTTGATGCCCAAGAAAAACAGGATTGCCATTTATGAACTCCTTTATAAGGAGAGAGTGATGGTGGCAAGGATATACACATACCTTAACACTCCCAGGTGGCAGATAAGAACATGCCTACTTCGCACATCATGAAGGCCATATAGTCTCTCAAATCATGAGACTACAGGCAATAACAGTTTGCCTGAAGACATTTCTACTGGTACCTTACCAACAAGGTCATCTAGTATCTCAGTGATCGTGCCTGCCACTTTGTGCAGCAGCTGGCCTGAGACAGGCAGGCCAAGGCCCAAAAGTCTGGAGGGTGAGAGACTTATGAGACTCACTAGTGAAATTCTAACAAAGATTTAAAATAGAATGAATACCAATTTTACATAAAGCATTCCAGAGGATAAAATTGAACTGTATAACCTTGATAGCAAAACCCAAAGACATTATAAGAAAAAATTTCATTAAACATGTCTTTTTAACATAGAAAAAATACAAAATAAAACACTGGTGAATTTAATCCAGCAATATATTAAGAGGCTAATATAACAAACTCCTGGAAGAAAGCATCTAATTGTCAGACTGGGAAGGCCAAAGATCTTGACTAAAAATCTCACTACAATATTCTAACCTAAGGAAAAATAAAATATTCTTGATGGCATAAGGAATAATAGATGCTGAGCTGCAAAAATAAAATCATATTTAATGGAAAGTTATACCTGTAAATAGACGGCAAGTGCCCCTTGAATTCCAATCTATTCACTTGCTCTAGGAATATAAGTACACTCGGTCATGAGAGATGAGCAGTTGCACAGAAAAGAGCAGCGAGCAAATTCTCCAATCAACCAACAAAAACGAAGGCATCCCTATTTTCTAATACAAGCTTCTCAAACAGAGGAAGTAAGGAATGACCTGTGAAACAGCACATCATTCTCTTTGTACCCATGTCAGTGTTCCATACTTCTATTGCCTGGGACAAATTTTTCCACCAGAAGATTCATGCTTTAGCTCTATCATATTTGAAGAGATTAAATAGCTCAGAAAAACATAAGTTAATTATACATTCTTTGTAGTTTATAAATTTACAGTTTACAGCTGACATCTAACTTTCCAATCAAATTTTTTTCTGCCTTCCTGGACCAAACAAAAAACAAAAGAAATAAAGGAACAGGAAAAAACTTATTAATAGGTTACAAAGTCATATTTGCATTTTATAATTTATATTATCAAAATTAATGAACCTAGAATAACAATGATTTGAGTTAAGATGAAAGGTGTAAATTAAGTGCTCTTTAGATTTTACAAATTCTGTTCATTTCTGATACCTGTCTAGTTTAAGGTTTACAGCTCAAGGGGTTTCTGAACAAGTTTTAATAATTTTCCAGGTGTTTCTGCTAAATTTCACCTCTGACTGAGACGCAAAGTGGCAGGTTCAAATCCCAAAATGCAAAGATTCTGTGAACTGATGGCAATTTCACATTACTAAAGATTAAGACAAAACAAATATGAAATATGGAACGGCATTCTATAAAGTGGCAAGCTGAGAAAGTGATGATTTCTAAGTTTTTAAAAGAAAGCTTACTGCATATATACCTAATGTGCTGGGGCAATCAACATGTAAAAAGGCAATGTCTGGAGAAAGCCAAATAAAAAAGTGTATAGGAAACATGAGGAAGCAAGCCCATATATCTTGGTACAAAAGCCAACAGAGTCAATCATTAATTTAATCTAGGTGAGCATCATTTCATGCCTAGAATAATACTGTCTCCTCATTAATTTCACTTCAGTCAGGCACATGCCCAAAAATCATTTGAAAAATCTAGATTTTCGTAAGCCATTTTCACTGGGTATTCCTTAGCTGAAAACCCTACTTTGGTTCCCTATTATCTCTCAACCAAGTTTAAACTAAACTCTGGTTGTTGAGAACCTCCATGATTTGACCTAATCTAATCTATTCAGTATTACTGCTGCAGATGAGAATGGTGGGTTAATAATGGCTACAAATTCTCTGTAGTTTCTCCCTTCATTTTCTGAATATAGAGCTCCCTTTGGCTTGCACAGACTAACAGAATGTGGCAGAAGCAGTACTCTGTGACTTCAAATGCCTGGCCTCAGGAGTTGTTCCTGCTCTTGCCCTCTTAGAGCTCTATTAGGTAAGAAACCTGAGCTATCCTGCTGGAGGAGTCACAGGGAAGGGAAGCAGCTGATGGCTCCCCTGCTAATCACGCCAGACCTGTAGGTGAGGTCATCTGAACTGCCTTCTAACAGATATGTCACATTTTTTAGTAGACTAGAAGTAGCAATGATAATAATTCTCTAGATTCCAGATCCAGTTATTTTATTTAAGAATCAATTTTTGTTTATTTCAATGTTATAGTTTAAACAAACTCAGCCTCTCAATGATACTGTTTTTGTTATAATCCATATGTTAAAAAATTTAATATATACTAATTTAAATCATAAAAAGTTTGCATTTAAGGTATCAAAATTATCAAAATGCTGAAGATAGTTATAAGTGAAATATAAGTACACGAATTAAATGGCATAGTTTTGCTATATTAAAATACATATGCAAAATAAGATTTGCCACTATTGAGAAATTTTGTTAGGTATATACATATGATTAGTATAAAAGTGCCTTACTAAGACATTTAAATTTTTGCAAAAATAGTTTACAGAAATCATAAAGTATTTTTTAATAGCTGAATGAAATCCTGCACCTAAAAACAAAGTACAATATCTCATCAATCTTCCTTCAGTTTTTTAGAACCTACCGGAGAGATTCGGCCATACGCCTCAAATCTTCATTTTGCTGTTTTAAGCGTTCAAGCTTTGCCAGGATCTTGGACAGTTCTCGGCTAGAGTGATCAGGGTGGTCATTATCTCGTACCAAATGACCACCTATATAAAACAGCAAGGTCCCCCAGGCAAAAAGAATGAGCATAATCCAACGCCAGGAACCAGTCCATGGCCGCATTTTCAGATTTTCAACTCACTCCCCTGGCTTTCTGGAGTTCAAAGAATTGCAAACATCATAATTCTGTTTCCTGTTAGTACAAAGATAGTAGTAGTCTGTTGTTTCAACACATGATGATTCAGACAAATTAGTGTCTCTCGTAGTCCTGTGATGAATCTTTCAAAGAGATGTTCTTGGTGGTATAAGTAGGAAGCTTTATTGTCCTGTGCTTCATGGACTCTACATGCTGTGGAAAGAGTAAAATACGTATTTAAATTATTTAGAATATATTAAAATACCACATACTGAGATTCTTGGAGTTAAAGGAATCACATTGGTGTTGACTGGTCAACAGACTGGCAAATCACTTAAGCACCAATAATAAGTAAAAACCAAAAGCTTTTAAGTCTGCATATTAAATCCACCAGGTACATCAGGGTTTTACCTGATAAATTAATTAGCTCTAAGACAGAAAATCCTCTAAGCACCATTATCATCTTCCTTTCTTACTTATATCATTATAAAACAGGTCATATATGAAGATTAAAAGATTGTAACTTTGAATAATCAATCATAACCAAACAAAATGTATTCAAGTATATAATTTGAACTAATCTTTCTGTTAATTCAAAAAGAAACATTTTCTTTTTTTAAGTGAATTCATTCTTACAAGATCTCAATTCCATCCCCCTCCATCTTACTGCTCAGCTACATTATATCACTTAACTTTGCAGGTGACAGGCAAACTGTCATTTTTAGGATAAATTATAAAAACAACATACATATTAGCCAAGCAAGTTATCACCACCATTAAGCAGCTGGCAACCACTCCAAACATTACAAGCAAAGGTTCATATGGAATAGGCTGGATTATTCCTTCCTCAAATTTATTTTAAAATACCAACAATTGCAATAGAATTCTAGTATCAGTTAACTCTTAGTTATTGTGCATATTAAACTACAAATGCATATGCTTTCCCAACACTAGCTATGGGTTTCATTTGTCATTTCTCCAGGATTAGGCTTAGATTTCCCTTTGGAAATAACACAAAGAAAAAATTTGCAAACAAAGATATATTATTAACACAACTTGATAATTCCAGGACTACACAGGAAAAGTCTTATCTCCAGGTACATAGTTCCTTGTAAAAGAAAAGAAATAGTTTCTATATATGAGACTGAATATAATGGAGACTTTAACACTACTTAAACATTTACTAGATGAGATAGAAAAGTCAGAGAAGAGACTTGAAAAATTAGAGCACAGAGCTGCTATTTTTCTACTTTTGAACCTCAAATCTCAATGGTTTTAAATTGTTTTTAAATGACTAAGTATTTAAAGAGAAGAAAATCTCTTCAAATGAGGTCCTAGAAACATTCCACATCCTTGCAATTTATTTCTACACTATACTCCTCATTGTTACTAGATCACACTGCTTACAAAACACAATGAAAATAATTATACTCACTGAAAATTGTTTGAAAACTAAGTAAAGAAGCAATAGTCCAAGTGAAAACTCAGTGTTTGATGTGGTGTTTTAATAACTATTCTTTAGTCTATTGAGGACAGTCTTTTTACTGACCACTCACTGTTCATTCTGTTTCTGACTCAAAATCCTTCGTAAAACCCTGCTCCTCTGACCACTGGTACTCCCATCTACTCACTAAACATCAGAATAATTAAAGTCTATTCAGTGTCTCAGATAAAATATCCAGTTATGTGAGGTCTACTTTTCATGTTATATAGAAAAAATGCAGACATTCAGGGATTCCTGGATAAAAACAAATTAGAAAAGTGAATCCACTCAGATGCTCTAAGGGATGAATTTAATTAAGTCAACAAAAGAAGCACTAACTTTTGAGTTAATGTTTGTGAAAACATATATTAAACTATAAAATGCTATCATTACCATATGCTGAAAATATATAGTAGTTCATTTCAAGCTACAGTAATAAGATATTAAATTTATTTAAATCTTTCCCTTCATAGTAAAAGTTAACTTAGGAAGATAACTGTGATAAAAGAAAGAGCTTTCAAAACAAGGATCATTAAAATAATAAGATGATGCGCTGTAACATTTTACCTAAAATTACAACAAAAATTATCATAAATATTCAAAGCCAGCAAAAGTATAATATAAATTGAATAGAAACAAAAATTTACAGAAACATACATTTTGTTATACAAAGTAATCTGGGATTTTATAAACCACCATCAAAAGTCAATATATTAAATTCTACATTTTACAGCACTATTGATACCACATGAGTTATAAAAAGCAAGAAATTATTATTGGAGCAAAAACAGTCATTTTCTTAATTAATATCATTTTAAATGTTTTTGAAGAGAATGTTCCCCCAAATTTTACTGGTTCATGGGAGTAACAAAAACAAGCCAAGCTAAAAACCAAGTTGCTTTCTATATAATTTTCCTTAGCATGATTTAAAAGAGCAGTTACAAAGTTTTTCCTTATCCATAATAAATGTCTGATTACTTATATGTCTAACGTTTGAGACATGCCTACAAAAATGTAAACTTCATGATTTTTGTCAATTTATTCACTGATGTACAGTAAATACTGAGAGCAGTGTTTGGCACTTAGTAGATACCAACAAACATTTTAAATAAATGAGTAAGTAAATTAATGATCGAAGGATATGATTGATCCATGACATAAACTAGAATGACAAATGACATAGAATCCAAGCATATTCTTCTTCAACTGCATTTTATGTCCACTTAAGAAAGTAAATATGAATGTAGAATGTCAGTGCTATTTTAATAAGAAAAACAGTTCAAAAATAAAATAATTCAAAAACTTTACAATTTATTATTGTTAACATAAATCTTGCAAGATACCCATTAAATGATTAAAATAAGCTGGCCTAAAAGGCCATAAGATCAACAGTCTTATAGTTACCTTTTAACGATGAGAAAATAATTTCTGTTTACTTTGTCTTATTTTCCTCATCTAGAAGAATCACTTTGCAAAGACAATGGGGAAACTGAAGAAAGTATGTACAGCCTTTGATATGAAAGCCACTCATTTTATTTGTGGAAGAATTTATTAGTAAAAATATTTCAACATCAACTACATGAACTAATTTCTGACTATATTTTATAAAATTAAATATTATTTAGCAGTAAAAAGAAAAAAACTAATGTACACAAAGACATGAATGAATCTCATAAACATCCCTGGCAAAAGATGCCAGGGACAAAAAAAATATGTTTTTATATGAAGATCTAGAACAGAGAAACAAAAAGATAGTGACCAGAATCAGAACAGTGCTTGCCAGGGAGCAAACACATGACTAATTAAAAACGGGAATGACAGTTACATGAAGATATAGATTTGGGAAAAATCATCTAACTGTATACTTAATATGGGTACATTTTATTGATATAAAATATGCATCAATAAAGCTGAGAATTAATTTTTTTAAAGTTTAAACTATCTTTATTTTGTGAATGTAATTGAAAATATCAACAAATGAAGGTTGCTAATTCATAAAATGGCTAAATTATGTGTCTTCATTTTCTATTTCAGTAAGACACTTTTTATTTCAGCAAAATCATCATTGTATACTCTTACTTCTAATGAAAAAAATTTCAAAAATTACTCTATAGCTATAATCAACTTCAATACAAATGTTAATGTGAGAATTATATTTTCCATACATTTAATAGACAGTAACAATCAACTCAACTAACAAGTAATATAATTAATAAACACTGCTGAATTTTCTTAGCATCCAGACTAACCTTTGCTCAGAGTAAAAGAAATAATCATAAATATTCAAAATAATGATTCTCTAAATTATAATAAATATCTACTACAGAAAACTACCATCCTTAAAAGAATTTATTTACTCAACAACTGGAAAAAGTAAAATGGAAATTATTATTACAGAGTGCTTCTTGTGATAACTCAATGCAATGGAATAAACTAAAAAATTCAATAGAAAAATATAATCATTTATTCAACAAATGTAATAAATGACTAATATAATATAACAGAGATTAAGTAGACTATTCTAAAGGCATTAGTTTGGTAAAAGAAAATATAAATAAAACTTTTAGAGAAAAGCTAATTATCAATTGTAAAGTACAAATATTTAAAGAGCCCCATACATATATAATTCAATTCTAGATTAACCTACACCCAACATTGTATCTTTAAATATTTTCTCATTTGATCTCAATTCATTTTCAAGGTAAGTATTATTATGTAATTTATTTAAAATCATTCTCACTAGCCAGCCTCCATATATGGGAAAATGGTATTTTATAAAGGTGTATGTTTACTAATTTAAGAGATAGAAAAAAGCAAGTAAAAATAGTATCACAAATTAAACTGGCCCTTTAATAGTAGTTGAAACAACTTCTATTCATGTAAAAGTGCTTGGTGAAACCAACTTTTAATAAACTGAAATGTAGAAGAGAGGGGAAAAATATTTCATATAGCCCCTACCAAGACTATAAAATTCAATTTTCTCTCATTACTCAGAGAGTCATCTATCATACTTTCACACTGTTTACCAATAAGGTCACAGTATACACACATATGAATGAATACATGAGCAGAAAGTACTCTTACTATTCACTGAAACCAGTCGATATCTTAGAAATTAATCATCCTATTTATGAAATACAAACACACAGTCACATTTATGAGGTTTCAGGAGTATCTTATTCACATTAATTCAAAATAACACACCAGGTTATGTTTATTAATGCAATTAATTTATACTATTCAAATGGGTCCAAAAATCTGGTCTTGACATCTTTACCTTCAGCTCTGTAATACTGTCCCAAATGGTAATACTAATAAATTCAAAGGAAATATATACTTTACCATTTTATCTGGTTATCAAGTGTGTGTATGTATGTGTATATAAATATGGTATACTTGATTGGCAGCATGACATAGTAAAAAGAGCAATCATTTTAAATCAATCACTAGCTATATGGGCAGTGTAACCAACTATAAAATGGGAATAAGAGTATATCTTCATCACATTATATAATATATGTAAAAGAGATTTATACTACAGTTTAAAAATATCAGTCACTATTATCTTTTCCTTGTTCACTAGAAACTACCAGCCCCCTGCCAGTTTCCAGAACATGTCAGGTTCTTACTTAATCTCAACTGCAATTCCCTTGGTTGAGTCTTAAAATTCAAATCTCTATTTAAATATCATCTCTTTTAAGAGACAGTCCTTGACAACTTGCATCATTAT